GTGGGACATTTCATGTCTGTCGCAGATGCTCTTGCTGCCTCTTCCCATCCCCTTGGCATGCTGGGTGAACTTCCCATGGGCAGCACCTGTGAACCTTCACTTGAGATTCTCTCTTGGGCTGCGCTGTCCAAATACAGGCAAGTTGGATGTGCTGGGGAATTAACACCCCCTAGGAGCAGCTGTCAGTCATGACAACAGGAGGTGGTGGCAAGTGCTGCAGCTCCCCGGGTGGGAAAACTCCGAGCCATGTGCTCTATGCTGGCCCCAGAGCCCCCAGCACTATGGCATTCCAATTGCCCACAGCGGTAAGGGCTTGATGATACACCCTGTGTGGCTGCCTTCTCTGCTTTCCTTCCCATATCCTGATTGATGTTTCCTGGGATCTCCCCTCAAATCAACGGTCAGTACTCAAATCCTTGTCTTAGGGTCTGCTTCTAGGGGAATCCAAACCAAGATAGTATCCACCTAAGCCACTTTTTGTTCATGATCTTTGGTGCAGGGTAGTGTAAGGGACAGACCCCTAGGCGGGGTGCTGGGGGAACCCTTGTTTTTCACTTGTAAACTTGGGACCAGCTAACAGGAATGAAGAGGTAGGGCTGAGGCCTGACCTGCTTTTAGGGCAACTGTGGAGCAAGACTGTAGATGCTCTGGTCATGACTTCCCCTCTGGGGCAGGCCCTCCTCTGCCAGGCTGGCCTCAGACATTGGGGTCCTTGCAGGCAGCCACAAAGCAGACACCCTCATTGGTGGAGCAGGTCTCAGAGCAGCTGCTGAGGTGGAGTCACACCTCCGCACCTGGCAGCTGGCCTCCTGCACCACCTTTTCCACTGTCTCCTTTTCTGGTTGGAGCCCAAAGAACTTCTTGGAACCTACCAGATAGTGGGAGTGAGGGCAGCCATGGCGATCAGGTGCCCATCAGGCTTCAGCAGGCTGGCCAGGCTCTGAGGGGCCACCCAGTACATGTCCACATAGAGACAGGCATTCTTCAGGGGCACCTGGGTGACTCCAGTGGATGTGGCTTGGTCACATCACACTTCAGCAACCACGTGATTGTCCAGCAAAGCTGGTTCTCCCTCTCCTGCCACTCACTGCTATGGAGGGGTCACAGAGATGACATGATGATTATGACAGTAGCCCCTCAGCCCTCACCACTATCCTCTGGGCTAAACATGTGACTTAACCTGTTCAGCATTTCTTTGAGCAAGATAATATTTTTCCCATTATACAGATGAAGACACTGAGGCACAGACTTGCCCAAATCAATACCCCTGTGCATTTGCTTTTGCTGTATTTGGATCCTTTTTCTGTATTTCTGTATTCTGTATTTTTCTGTATTTTGGATTCCTATATGTGGGATTCCTGGGTCAGAGTTCTAAAAACTTTCAGTTCAACAAATAAGTTAGGCAAATAAACACCAAATTATTTTTCCAAAAGAAAAAACAGCGTTTTCTTCCTTTTAATTTTTTAGGACAAATATTTAATTTTTCTTGAACGAAATATGATATAATGTAACATAATATAGAATAATAAATGTGGTATTTTTTCTTTGGGCTTTCTTCAATCTAGGTATAGAAAATCCTCTCTTACTCAGAAGTATGATAATGATTTGTCTGTGACAGCTTCTGTGGTTGATTTTTAGAAAAATGTTTAGCCTTTATTTTGGTGTTTGGTGTGAGATGAGGGTCTGAGTAGCTGCTTGCAGCTCACCAGAGAAAGCAGAGTCTCATGTACACCAGCAAGTTCCTTCTCTGGACTCATTTCTTCACTCCACAGAGCCAGGCAGGAAGAGAAGTAGCGAGGTATCAGGGATCGTGGAAGGCTGGGATGGTAGTTTCCCTAATATTGTAAAGGAGCTTGATCCTTTTCTTATCTGTCTGGCTTTTCAAGTGGTCTTATTTCCTTGATAGGCAGCCTGAGATTTGCTCCTTTGCAAATTTAAACAGAAGTCCTATTAAAGGAAGTACTATTAAAACAGAAGTCCTCCTGAATTGGAAATGTCCTTGCTCTATTAAAAAAATCACTGTATAGAAAGGTGCCTAAGATGACGTACACATTCTTAAAAGGGCCTGAAGCTTAGCTCTGTCATAAACAAAATGTTGTCACATTGAAGAAGGCAAATCTTAGGATAGTGGTTCTCAACTGGGGACAATTTTTCCTCCCAGGGGACATTTGACAATGCCTGGAGACATTTTTGGTTGTCCCAAAAAATGTAACTTTGGAGTGTACTGGCATCTAGCAGGTAGAAGCCAGGGATGCTGCTAAAAATCCTACAACACGATTCAGCAACCCACCCCAACAAGGAAGGATCTGGTCTGAAGAGCCGATAGTACTGAGGCTGAGAAACTCGCTCTTAGACTATGTCCGTAAGAGGCTTCACTCTGGGCAGATTGCCCTAGTGCTGTTAGGACGCTTGGCCAGGCCAGAGTCAGGAGGCACGTAGGGATGGAGAAGGCCTGAGTGGCAGAGAAGCAGGTGGAAGCCAGAGGGTAGAGGCTCTGAATGCCAAGGGGAAGCAGGAGGCACTGGAGACCTTGCATTAGGAAAGGCATCCTCTGTCCATCCAAGGACATCCAATTGCAGCAGGATGTGTAGCTCTGGGAAGGATGGTCTCTCCCAACCCTGTACAGACCCCCTAGCTGCCCACGTCCTGCTGCAGGGGCTCTGTAATCCTGGATAGTACATGCATGTCTATGGTTCAGCCCCTTCAGTGTTAATGCTGGGCTTCTTCCATGTGCCTCCATATCTGCTCTCCATCCTCTCCAGGCTACTTCAAGTGCCAGGAGGCTGGCGTGTGGACTGTAGTCACCATTCCCTTCCTTTTAAATTTGGCAGGATATTGGAGGGAGGTAAGAGAATGAGGTCTGGGTGATTATTCTTTAGCTACTGTATTAGTCTGTTTTCATACTGCTAATAAAGACATACCCGAGACTGGGTAATTTATGCAGGAAGGAGTTTTAATGGACTCACTGTTCCACATGGCTGGGGAGGCCTCACAATTATGACTGAAGGCCAGGAGGGGCAAGTCACGTCTCACATGGATGGCAGCAGGTGAAAAGAGAGCCTGTGCAGGGAAACTCCCCCTTAGAAAACCGTCAGATATCGTGAGACTTGGTCACTATCATGAGAACAGCATGGGAAAGACCTGCCCCCATGGTTCAATTACTTCCTATCCGGCCCCTCCCACAACCCATGGGAACTGTGGGAGCTACAATTCAAGATGAGATTTGGGTGGGGATACAGCCAAGCCATATCAGCCTTTTTGCTGTTGGCTGCTGCAGGAGGCCCTCTCTACAAAGCTCTGTCTCTCTCTCAGTTGTGCTGGGATGATGGCTCCTCCATGCTGCGAGCCCTTGGGTTCTGTGATGGTGCTTTCTGTGGCTCAACTTGGCTAGGACTTGGTGCCTAGACAGGTGGTCAGTCATGATCCTGGCTGTGTGAGGGTGGTTTTGGATGAGATTCGCATTTAAATCAGTGGACTTTGAGTAAAGCAGACTGCCCTCCATAATGTGGGTGGGCCCCATCCAATCAGCTGATGGCCAAAGTAGAACAAAAGACTGACCTTCCCCGAGCAAGAGGGAATTCTGGCAGCAGCTGGTCTTTGGACTTGAACTGCAACATTGGCTTTTCCTGGTTCCACCCTTCAGATTTTGGACTTACCAGCCTCCACAATTACACGAGCCAATTCCTGAAAATAGATCCATTTTCTGTCAGTGTACACATCCTGGGCTCTGTTTCTCTGGAGAACCCTGACTAATAGAGGGTATCATGTGCCTTCCTTCTACCCTGCCCACTCCTTAGTTAGTACCATGCCTTTATTGCACACTCCTCCAATTATGTAACGCGAGCACTGCAGTTTCCTGCCTGCTCTGAGTGCCTTCTGCAGGCCAGCACGTTGGCTGCAGGCCTCCCTGGAGGCTGCCCAGGCGCCTGCTCCTTGGAAGCCAGGCCCCAGATGACCACCAGGTGTTGCTGCCTCTGCGGCATCCTCTGTCTCTTGGGCCCTGTGGATTCAGATTCTATTTGTTTACTTAAAGCCAGAACAAGGTATTCCTGTCCTTCCCACTTTCAGGGCAAGAGGCCTGAACCTCCACTGTAGCAGATTTATTTCTATCTGGTTTGTGGCCAAGTCAGAGCCATTTCTTGTGCAAAAAACAGAGACTGAGCTTTTCTCTGTCTGTGGGAGATTTTACAACCCAGCCCCATTTCAAAGAGAAGGAGACTGAGGCCAGCAGTATCTTACCTGAACTTACCTGGTGAGTCAGCGGCCAAGAAGTCAGGATCCCTCTGATAGTTTATGTTTTATGACCGGGCGCCCTTGTTCTCATTCATGGAGATGGATGATAATTTCTGCTCTTCTCCCAGTGGCCTGCACAGTGATGCCAAGTCAGCCATTCTGCTCTGCCTCCTGGGGTCTGAACTCTGTTCTCCAGCAGGGATGGGGGATGCATGAAGCTGCACCTACTGCCTGGCCTAGAGAGAGCCACTGGGCCCCCTGACCACCAGGGGACAAGCTGGAGATCTCACTGTGCCTGCCTGGCCTAGAGAGAGCCACTGGGCCGCCTGACCACCAGGGGACAAGCTGGGGATCTCACTGTGCACTCAGGTCACAATACCTGTGACTGGGGGAGTGGCTTTGATCCTCGCAGTAAGTGAAGTGGTCACATAGGTGGGGAAACGTGGATCCGACACCTGCTGGAGGCCACACAGCAGCATGTGGCTGGCAGGACTGAGAGTTGCACCTAGGGCTGGGCACCATCAATTGCCTTTGATGGACATGGGTTGGTCCCTAGAGAAAGCAGGGCCAGGGCAGCTGCAACCCCAGCTGTCATGGCTCTGGGGTTGGGGGAACCTCAGGTGTGTCAGTGTGGCTGGGAGGTGGTGAGGGATGCACTCCCTCCTGCATTCCCCTAGAAGGAAAAGCTTGAAAGACACACATGGGAGGAGCAATGGGATGAGGCTGGAGTGCTGGAGGTGGAGCCTGGAGAGCTTGGAGCCCTCATAAGACTGGACAGGCAGGAGGGGCCATATTTCAGGGCCACCATGGAGGGCGGCTTCACGGGGGGTGATGAGTATCAGAAACACTTCCTGCCCAGGGACTACTTGGCCACTTACTATAGCGTCGATGGCAGCCACTTGCCTGAGGTCGAGATGCTGAAGTTTTACTTGGAGTGTCTTCACAGAACTTCGGCCCTGGTGAGCAGAGGGTGGCCCTTCCCATCGAGCCGCTCTCCAAGGAACCTGGATGGGGATGGGGACAAGGTGTCCTGGGGACAGTCTGGTCTCCTCTAGGGGTTGCTGTGGGTGGGCCGCGGGAGCTGCTAGGGACCTGTCCCTCTCTTTGGATAGCTGTCATGCTGGAGGTTGGGTCTGTCTCCCCATGACTCAGGAGCTGTGTGCCAGCTGAGGGATCAGGATCCATGGGAAGAGCACAGCCCATGAAGTTCCCACACTGTTCTCCATTAGCCCCTAGGTCTTTGGAGTGGAGCAGAAAAGGGCTTCCAGGTCATCATCAAGTTCAGCCCTGCCCTTACACAGCCAGGCCTCTGGGGCCCCCAGAAGGCCAGGAGCAAACAGCAGGATTGTAGTGTGTTGGGTCAGGATTGCCTATTCCTGGAGCTTGCAGCCCAGATGTGGCTGTGATGAGGACCTGGAAAAGCCCTACCCTGGGACAAGGATTGTTAGGTGGGGTCTCAGCCCTGTTGCAAACCTGACAGCAAGGCCCTCAGGTTGCAAGGACCTAAACTGAGACATCTATACAATGGATGATGACTTCTGCCTTTCTCCCGGTGATCTCTTCCCTCCCCACGGTGACCCCATGATTTGGTGTATCTTCCTAGCTCAAGCAGCCATGTCCTCACTTTGGGCACTTGACTGGGTAACAGTAAGGTTGAGTCTCCTGGTGGTCTGGGGGATAAGAGGGGTTAAAATGTTGCCGAGCCTGAAGGAGCAGCAGGCCAGTATGGGGGGCAGAAATCAGAGAACAGCCAGACTGGGTGTGACCAAGCCTGGAAGGCCAAGTGATGGCCCCACACCAGGGCTCCAGACAGAATGTTGGAAGTCATGCTTCATTCCAGCTTCCAGGTGACCCTGGATTTACTCCTTGGGGCCATCTTCCCAGATCATCTCCTTAGCCTCTTGCTTCCTATTCTTGTACTCGTATACCCCTCCCACCTCCAAGGAATGAGAAACCCATCCAGGCAGGGCTGGACTTCCCAGGGACGCTCCTAGCTCCCAGTCAGCCTGAAACTTAAAGGGCCACTTCCCCCAGCATGTCCCCTCTAATCTCTGCAGCCCGAATCTTCTCTAGAGTAGGGCTTGGGTCTCTTTTCTCTGTCCCAGAAAGATTATACTCTTGGCTTATATTCTTGGCTGAAAGATATTGGGCAAATTGTTTAACCTTTTTCAGACTCAGTTTTCTAATTTATAAAATGAAAATAATGATAGTAATCACTACACAGGGTAGTTCTGAGGTGTAAATGGAAATGAATGCATATAAAATATTTAGCATGAGGCTTGGCCCACAGGAAGCCACCAATCTGTGATAACCACCATGCTTGGTGCTGCTTGCCCCTTGGGTAAGACCAGGGTGTGTGTCCTCATCCCTGTGTCTGTCTTGGGTCTCATTTCTGTTACCCATCCCTTACCAGTCTTTCCTTCCCACAGGAGGCCTCCAAGGGGACATGCTGATTGACATCGGCTCAGGTCCTACCATCTACCAAGTTCTCGCTGCCTGTGAGTCCTTCCAAGACATCACCCTCTCTGACTTTACCTACCGTAACTGGGAGGAGCTGGAAAAAGGATCCGGGGGCTTATGACTGGACCCTGGTGGTGAAATTCGCCTGTGAGCTTGAAGGAAACAGGTAGGGGTGCAGAGGTTGGGGAGGGTCTCCCAGACCTTCTTTCTCAGAGGGCTCTCTGGCCTCTTGGTTGTCTCTGACATTTTCAGGACAGTAGGGCCTTCAATATGACCAGAGGTCTTGCTGTAGGGACAGAGTAGATGGGCCCCCAAGTTTCAGGATTACAGGAGTTTCAGGGGCAAGTCTCTGATCATAGGACTATGTTGAGGTGTGATATAGCCAAGTATGAACACTGAAGACCAGGTGATAGAACCCTTCCTTCCTTCTTCTCTTTCTTCCTTTCCCTAATCTATATATCTACCTATCTTGTATATATCTAACCATCCATCCATATCCATCCAGGCACCCACCAATCCATCCATCCATCCATCCATATTCATCCATCCACCCACCCATCCATATCCATCCACCCACCACCCATCCATTCACCCATCCAGCCAGCCAGCCAGCTATTCACCCATCCATCCGTCCATTCATCCATCTATCGATATTCATCCATCCACCCACCCATCCATATCCATCCACCCACCACCCATCCATTCACCCATCCAGCCAGCCAGCCAGCTATTCACCCATCCATCCGTCCATTCATCCATCTATCGATATTCATCCATCCACCCACTCATCCATTCATCTATCTCCATCCGTCCATCCACCCACCCACCTATTCATTTCCATCAATCTGCCTGCCCATCCATCCATCCATTCATCCACCCACCCATTCATATCCATCCTTCCATCCAACCATATCCATCTATCCATCCACACATCCATCCATCCATCCACCCACCCACCCATCAATCCATCCATCCATCCATCCATGTCCACTCAAATTAATCCATCCACCCACCCATCCATCCTTCCTTCTTCCCTCTGTTGTCTGTACGTGTGCGACTATATGACATATAATTATGTGAACCCACCACCCAACCTGAGTACTCGGATATAATAAAGACTTACCTGTGCTTCTCTGTGACTCCTTGCCCCTGCCTTTCCCCACCTGAGGTAATCACTAATATGAATTTTATATTTATTCCCTTTTTTGAAAAAATCTTTTTCTTGTATACTTACGTATATCTAAACAATCTATTATTTAGTTTTAGTCACCTTTGAGCTTTATAGCAGAATAATTTGCCCTGTGTCATCTGGGATTTGCTTTTCATCACTCAACATTATATTTTTAAGATAGCTATATTCATGTATGATCTGTAGAAATTTATTAATTCATCCATCCATCCAACAGTGTTTGTTAACTGCCCCATCTGTGCTTGGGGTGGTTTTGTCCCTCCTCGGGATTAAGGGAAAGGGGCTCACATGAAATCAGAGAGAGAAAAGTTCCTTTAACTGTTCTGGTCCACTCTTGCTATCCATTTTTCTTTGGAAGAAACTGAGGATCAGATCGAAGAAAAGCCTGCTGTCAGGTCACACAGGGACTCAGGGAGAGCAATCCTTTGGGGATTCAGAGATCATCTCCATCTGCTAGTCGCAGTGGACTAAGAGTTCCCTTTGGAAACTTGAAGTGCCTCCCCGACTCCCTCCCTCTCTCTCTGCAGTGGCCGATGGCAGGAGAAAGAGGAGAAGCTGTGAGCAGTGGTGAAGCGGGTGCTCAAATGTGATGTCCACCTGGGCAACCCACTGGCCCCGGCTGTGTTGCCCCCTGCCGGCTGCATGCTCACCCTTCTGGCCATGGAGTGTGCCTGCTGTAGCCTTGATGCCTACCGTGCTGCACTTTGCAACCTTGCCTCGCTGCTCAAGCCGGGTGGCCACTTGGTGACCATGGTCACACTTCGGCTCTTGTCCTACATGGTGGGGAAATGTGAATTCTCCTGCTTGGCCCTGGAGAAGGAGGAGGTGGAGCAGGCTGTCCTGGATGCCGGCTTCGACATTGAGCAGCTCCTATACGGTCTCCGGAGCTACTCTGTCACCAGTGCTGCCAACACTGGAGTCTGCTACACTGTGGCTTACAAGAAGCCTGGGCCCTGAGCCAGGAGGGCTAGCCAGGGCTCTGGCCAGGCTGTGAGGCCGTGACCATCTGTATGCTAGAGAGGGGCGAGGAATGGATATTAACGGGCCCTGCTTTCAACACTAACAATCCATCTTCTGAAATTCTGAGATTCTAACATCCTTGCTTCAGAATTCTAAGTTTCCAACATTCCTCATTCTAGGATCCTAGGAGTGGAATTTTCCATTTTCTAATATACTAAGGCTTACAACTACCTTAGATGTGATCTGACTCCCATGTGACTGTGGAGCACCCAGGGATGTGGTTTCAGAGTCTGCCTAGTATGTTAAGGACAAGGAAACCTCTAGACAGCGGCATATTGGGGAATGTTTCATAACCAGGGAAAGCACTGAGATGTGGCGTCACCAATTTCTGTGGTGTAAACACTCCCACAGTGGTTGGTTTCAAGCTACCAGTGGTTTAATGACCTTCTCATAAATCTCCTAAACATTTTACAGTTGACTCTCATGAGCTGATTTGAGTCAGCTGGAATACAACACTTCCTCAGACTAAGGTCAGCAGATTTAGCAAACAAAAATACAGACTGCCCCAGTTCATTGAATTTTAGATAATAAATTTTTAAGGCTAAGTATGTCCCCAGAATTGTATGGAACATGCTTATCCTACACAATGATATGTTGTTCACCTGAAATTCAAATTTAGCTGGGTGTCCTGTATTTCATCCGTCAGTCCTACTTCAGACCCAAGAGTAAGGTACATGTATGCACTTTGGTCAAGCAATAGGCAGAGGCGGATATCCAGCCCTGCATGACTCATTGGGTTTGGTGCGCAGGTGAACACCTCTACTTGTTATATAACCTTTTTGTGTAAATTCATACTTGGCTCTCAGCCACTGTTGTCTGTAAAAGGTATACTTGTTGTGCTAACGCTATATAGGGGTGCTCTTGGGGCTTGGCTTGGCTCAACATGGCTTGACATGGCAGGTGCGCTGGTGCCTAGAGAGAGAGAGAGAGGGAGAGCCAAAGCTGTCCATCTTGCAAATGGACAGTAGGGAGCCAGGACACAGCTCGGCTTGCTTGTGCCCAGAGAGAGAAAGAGTTAAGCTGCTGACCAGCTGGCTGCACAGCTGTGTGTGGGAGCCGCAGGCTCAAGCAGCCGAGACAGGGCGGACAGCGTGAAAGAGCTAGTGCGAGTAAGCTGCTGATGAGAGCGGTGGCTGAGTAAAACCATATTCACCTGCTTATAGCTCCCGGATGTCCTTTCTGCCCATCTACCCAGTCCCCTCGGACTTCAGCATGGGCTGGACCTGGACCCCAGGACCTGATGCCAACTGAGAAGAGGAGCAGCCCAGGGATCAAGGCTGTCCCTGGTATATAAGGTGCCTTTGTGCAAATTAGGAAGAGGTGCTCCTGCAGGTGGACATTGCAGAAAGAAGTGTTCAGGGCTGATTAATTGAGACATGCTGTTCCATCTCCCCATGGAAGGGCTATGAGAACAAGGTACCTGTTCTGGGGAGACTAATTAGAGAAAAGTGTCCCTTCCTTAAGGCTGATTGGGTCACACACCTGAGCACCTGCCGGCCTCCCTTTCTCCCTCAGCCCCAACCTGTGCCTTTCTGTGGGTACACCCTGGGCACAGCAACCTTGATAAGAGCCAGGAGACCTGGAATCTAGTCTCAGCCCTGCCACTTATTTGCTAGGCTTCAATTCTCTGGGCCTCATATTCCTATCCATAAGATTTAATCTAATAATCTACAGGAACAGTATTATTATGAAATTCCATTTTACAGGTGAGGAAACTGAGGCACAGGCTTTCTCAAAGTAGCTATTAAGTAGATAAGCCGGGCTTATGAACCAAGCAGTCATTCCAGAGCCTGAGCTTAATCTGTACCCCGCGCTGTCATCTCACAGGGGACCCAGAAGAACATCTAACTAGGCTTGGAGGAAGTCCAGGAAGGCTTCACGGAGGTGATCTGTGAGCTGAGACTTAAGAGTGAATAGTTCACTGACTGCTGATGGAGAGAAGAAGGGCCAGCCATTCACAGCAGAGGAAAAACCTGTGTGTTGTGGCTAATTACACAAAAACCCATCTCCACCCCTAAGTCATGACCCCCATGGTCCGGAAGTAACATGAATATAAAAACAGAAGACACAAGAGATTTATTAGCCGTGTGGTACCCCCCACTTCCTCCTTACCCATGTTTACCACATCATAGGAGTCAAGTATCAAGGCCAAGCCAGACTTGGAGAGATGCCAGCAGAAACATTTCATAGGTTCAAAAGGATATGAATTTCCTAGTCTCTTCCTGACCCATGACCAACTCCTGCATCCTTATACAGGTGGAGCTGGAGGTTGAGGGGGCTGTGGGGAATTTGGGAAAGAGGAGGATGAACTCCCCACAGCTCTTTTGCCCTCTGCCTGTAAGCTCAGTCTCTCTTACTCTAGTGCATTCTTGGCTCCTTGCTGAGAAATGCTTCTTATCTTGTGACTCCATTCTAATCTCAAAAATCCTGCATTTATTCTTTTTCCTAGATCTCTGAAAAAACCCAAGGTCAGGGAACATGGTTGTTTACCAGAGGCATTTTAACTGCTTATCTATAAAGGAAAGGAACAAAAGTTGACTGTTCTGGTCATCTCAGCTTAGGCAGCACAGAGGTCATGGAGAAGTTTTCATAGGCAACTGTCTCTGCTTATGGGAAAAGCTATACAGACATGCAGTTGTGCACAAGCACAGAAGTGAGGCTCAGGCTGGTGTGAAGATCAAGGACTGTAAGACTTGAGCTCTGAGATCCTGCACATGGGCATGCTACATGTGCAATAAGAATGTGGGGTATCATGATTTGAGATCCTAATAAAAAGAACCAGAGGGGTAGAAACATGTCATCTTGAAACAAAAGAACACCAGTGTTCCAAAGATTGTTAATTTTTCTCCCATGCCCATTATGCCCTCCCTATAATCAATTTGTGGCACATCAGTATGGACAATCCCTCTGGGAATATCTGGTCTAGCAAACCCTAGAGAAAGAGACCACTGCCCCACAATTGATTGAGCTTTCACTCATTCTTGGAGATTTATAGTATTTTGGTTGAAAAGATAGCTGCTTTAACAAAAGACCCCCCATTCCCATTTCGAAAAATAGAAAACAAAACAAAACACCAAGCTCAAACCAGATGAAAGTGTATTTGTCTCACCTGTAACTATCTGAAGTCCATGTCACTGTGTGACTCTGCTCCATGCAGTGATTCAGGGAACCAGGTTCCTCCATCTTACTTCTGCCAACACCCAAGGTAGCACACTTAAACTTGAGTGAGCATCAGAAGTATCTGGAAGTCTTATAAACACAGATTGCTAGGCCCCACCCTGAGTTTCTGATTCAGTAAATCTGATGTAGGAACTGGGAATTTGCATTTCTAATTTTCAAGTGGTGCTGATGCTGGTGTTTGTGGGGCAGCTACACTTTTGAGAATCATTGTTCTTAGGTGTTGCTTTTGTCTTTAGGGTCACCGTACATGCTCATTGTTGCAGCTGGTGCTCTGGCTTACGGGAGAAAAAAGAGTATGAAAGAGATGGGGCCTGGTTTTAAGGCACTGGCCCTCTTATTCTGCTGGTGACAACTTAGTTCCATGGCTGCCTCTGACTTCAAGAAAGGCTGGCAAATATCATGTGGCTTGGAAGTCATTTGCCTAGCTCCAAACATATAACCATGCATGAAGGAAAGAATGGATTCTATTGAGCAACTAGCAGACTTCACACAGGACTCTGCCACTTTGGGAGCAGTTTCAATTCATTTACTTAGACCAGAATTTTTATGAAGAATGTTACTTTGAAGGATACTATGTTATGATTTCCAAAGAGTATGTGCATTATTTCAACAGGAATTTTTCACAGGGAGGCACTGACAGCTATGTCTGAAGGTTTGGGGTCTGCACTTGCTGGTGAAAACATCAGAGTGTGAAGCAACTGCCAAAAAATCTCGGCTTGCCCCAGAGAAGGCACCATTATCTGGACAGCATCCGAGGAGCTTTGATCAAGAATTTCCTAAGGCCATTCCAGGGCAAGTGTGCAGCAAAGTAGGTTGGTGTTTGTATTATTTAGGGATGTGTACGTGTGCATGTGCATGTGTGTATGTGTGTGATTTAATTGGTTCTTTTTCTCTGGGGACACCCTTCTTACTCCCTTGATTTATTTTAAGGAATTGGCTCACATGATTGTGGGGACTGGCAAGTCTGAAACCTGCAAGGCAGGCTGGCAGGCTGGAGACCCAGGGAAGAGCTGATGTTGCAGCTTGAGTCCAAAGGCAGGCTGGAGACAGAACACTCTCCTCCTTGGGGAACCTTCGTCTTTTTCTTTTAAGCTCATCAACTTACTAGATGAGGCCCATCCACAGTACGAAGGATAAGCTGTTTTACTCAAAGTCTGCACAGCAACATCTAGGCTGGCATTTGACCAAAGAGCAGGGTATCATGGCCTAGCCAAGTTGACACATGAAATTAACTACCACATTGGTGGAGAATTACACATTCTTCTTGATTAAAATGGACATTTTCTCAAAACGCTATGGGATCCCTTTGCTATCTTCTTACCTCTCCCCAGCCAGTCCCCATGCACAGACCTGCACAAACAGCTGGGCCTCACCATTCCTGACAGTGAGGAGGTCTTGAATGCACCAGGCCTAGTGAAAGACCAACACTCTCACTGGGGTGATGGCTGTCCCAGCTCCTCTTACTAGAGCCTGGCTGCGGCCTGGGTCCCCCCTCCATCTCCAGTCTCATGTTGGTGACCATGTGGATACAGCCTGGGAGCAAAGATTGGGAGGTGGTGGATGAGATAGAGCCATGTGTGTGTGGGGGGGGGAATTGTGTAAATAAGCTGTTCCTTCATATTGCCAAGGACAGTGGCCTGGGCTGGACCCCCATCCTGGCCTCTGGGGGTGGTGGCCAAACAGCTGGGAAGGTCTGAGGGTCATATTACTAGAAGGAGTTTCACCATGTTCTTCCAACCCAGCTAGTCCAGACATGTTGCATTTGGTCAGATCCCTGTTCCCAGCCCCCAACCCTGACAGCCAGTCCCTGGGAGGACATGGTTATGGGGACAAGCATGTGTGCTTCTGTTCTCTGGAACCCCTGATCCAAGCCCTCCAGACCCTCAAGGAGCCCTCGGTTGGAGGGGGTTCATTCGGTCAGTTGCCTCCCTGGAGCATCCCGGAGGAAGCAACACTTGACCCTCACAATCTTGCAAAAGATCTAGCCCCCCATGTAGCAGGCCTCACCTCCCTGCTCTAAGCCCCAGAATACATTGAACCCATCCTGCTGCCAGAACCGAACAGGGTACCAGACAGAATTCAGGGGGTCTAGAAATTCCTGTGGGTGGACTCACATAAATGCAGGAGCTCATCGACTCAGAAATGCACAGAGCCATAGCTGTATAGTGACGGATAGGATTTCTCTCTCTCTCTCACACACACACACACACACGCACTTTTCTCCTCTGTGTGACACCTGTATTATCAGGCAAGGCCATCTAAGTTGTCCCTCCAATGTAAAGTCCATTGAATTTTCCTCCCTCCCTTCCTTCTATACCTCAGGGACAAAGAGTTAATTAATAACACAACTCATGTCAATTCATGACATCCTGTCATCATTGGCCCTTGAGAGTCCATCTTTCATTAACTACTGAATCAATAGAAATAATATAAAAGATGCTTAAGAAACAAATACACTCATGACAGCCAGAGCACTGATGAATACTTATCATTACCTACGCCTTTCTCTTCTGCCATGTCTTTGACCTTCCCTTTCCCAGGTAACTACTGACCTGAATCACATCTTCATTTCCTTGCTTTTATTTTTATAAACCTTTATCAAAGCTCTATTTTCCTACAAGAAATTATTACTTGTTGGTTTAACAGTGTGTACAAAGATTTTATGCTGCTTGTCATCTTTTAGAAGTTAACTTTTGCACTCACATTCCCATTGTTAAGATTCCATATGTATTTCCATTGTATTGTTGAGAAGGTGAATGAAATGACTGCCTATCACTAAGGAGATACAGGCTCATCTTGGCTAAATCTGGCTTTAGGTCCATCAGTAACATGGAGAAATTATTGCTTTCTGGGTATCACAAAAGCATGCTTTACAGTTCTTGCTTATTTAGCAGGCTCCATGGGTTTATCTCTGTTTTATGAAACCTGGAAAAGCATTTCCTTTGCTTTTTAAGTGATTGCAGATATTTACAATGATTGGGT